ACTGTACAATCAAGTCGGGTTTTTGTTCATCACTTTCAACAAGCACAATAAACAGAAAACCAGCCTATGAGAATTTCACCACTGAATTTCTACATGTTGGCTAACATATACAGCTAGATAATATACATGTCGTTAGTGCTATGGAACCTTTTTACATTACATTAAAAAGGTGCCATGTTTCAGTTTTGTTCTTTTTAATGACTTTTTTGCTTTGTACAATTTAAACAAATTAAAAGGGCTTTGAATTTCTTTTTGAAAACTATTTCTTTCATATCAAATTGGATGAAGGTGGTCAAAAATGTGGGAGAAATGTTTAGCACAGCAGTATATAACCCTGGAAGGATGCTCCTGAAAACCAAGGATCTCCTTCTGAAAAAGCAGCAAGCCATCAACTTCCCCTTATGACACGAATACATTTTAGTTCATTGATGTTTTTGTGTGACAAAGCCATTCTTCATTTCTGCTACTTGAACTTTCCATTCGCCTTGAAGCTCATTTATGTAGCTTCTTCAGAAGATGCGGCAATGTCCACTACAACCAAGAGGGCATTATGTATATTGTAATTACAATTCAAGGGATAAATTTGTCCACAGCTTGCTAGCTTCCCCCCCACCCCATAAATATTCAATAAAGGTTTGACACATTTTTGAAGAGTGATTCTGCTGTTTCTGAGTATGAGGTATCTCCATGTGGAGATACCCCTTTGCAATAACTTCATGCAGGATTCCCTGAATATGTCTGTTATTTTTAACAGGTGACAAATTGAGCTTAGCCTAGCCTAGCCTTTGCTTTCCTTTGCTTTCCCTTGCCTTGCATAGAAACACAGGGGTCCTCAAAATGGCAGCAGCAAATGATCAAAGCAAACTATTTGCTTTTCTTCTGTATTCCAGAGATTATGCTGGATGAGAAGAGATGTTGCATTTATAGGATTCTGCTCTCACTCCCCTTTAATCCTCTGAAAAAAAATGAAAGCATTTTCTGTAATAACTAACATCCACGGTATAAAATTTATTTATGACTACTAGTCCTGATAAAGAGATGCAGTGGGTTAAATTGCTGTGCCACTTGGCTATTGATTGGAAGGTCAGCAGTTCAAATCCACACAATGGGGTGAGTACCTACTGCTGTGTCCCAGCTCTTGCCAACCTAGCGATTTGAAAGGATGCAAATGTGAATAGACAAATAGGTACAACTTAAGTGAGAAAAGTAACCGTGTTCTGTGTACCTTGGTGTTTACTCATGCTGGCCACATGACCACAGAAACATCTTCAGACAATGCTGGCTCTTCAGCTTACAAAGAGAGAAGAGCACCTGTCCCAGAGTCGGACACGACTAGCACATACCTATGCGGGGGAACTATTACCTTTTACTACTCGTGCTGATGGCTATATGCTAGTTCCAGTATTAGAGGCAGTAAACTCACATGCAGCTGCTGTTAGGGAACTTGGACAGGACCACGTTGCACTTGTCTCTTGGTTCTGGGATCCCGCAAAGACTACATTCTAGGTCTTCTTATACAAAAATTACACAATAGTCTGTGAGCCTAGCATCATCTAGGCACCCTGTGATGCAGAATAAAGTGTCTGTGTGTCTGTTTGCATGAGCATTTACTTTTTTATTGCAGCCTTTGTATGCTTCTCAAAATATTTAGCAAAGCATGAGCTCCAAATGCTTGAAGCTTTAATTTGGATTTTGTAGAAAAGCCATTTGCACTTAGAATTGCAAAGTAGCAAGCATTCAGGAACCAAAATCCTTGCAGGCCTGGTTGCCTAGCAAGTCCCTATCTAGCATCCCTCTATCTGGTGGCTCTCGCCCACCCTCCTGAGGCCCAATGCCCCACCAAGCTGTCAGATTTATCATCAAAAAGCTCCCAGAATGGTCATTCAGTAGGGCATGAAAAATAGAAAATGTGCTTGTTCTTAACCTAAATTAGATCTTTTTAGAGCTCCATCAAAGCCCATTCTTAGGTTGAAATGGGCTACATTTAACATTTTAGTGCATTGTTTTGAGTTGCCATTAATTTTCACTGACAAATGAGCTATTTCTCTCCTAATGCTTCAAAGACTGAAGTTCGGGGGGGGGGGTTAGAAGGAACACCCTAAAGTTCCAAAGTCCATTTGGAAGCAAACTGGACGTTATGTTCACATGACTCCAGTTCTCTGTCAGCTTCACTGGCTTCCCATTGAAGTCCGGGCCCAATTCAAGGTGTTGGTAATGACCTATAAAGCCCTAAACGGCTTGGGTCCTGGTTACCTGAAGGAGCGCTTACATCCTTATATGCCCAGCCGCCCCCTGAGATCGGTGGGAGAGGCCCTTCTCCGGGAGCCCTCCATGGAAGAAGTTAGGAGGGTGGTTACTCGGAGGAGGGCTTTCTCAGCGGTGGCGCCTAAGTTATGGAATGCGCTCCCCAGAGAGGTCCGCCTGGCGCCGTCGTTATTTGTTTTTCGGCGCCAGGCGAAGACCTTTTTATTTAAGCAGTATTTTAAATGTTAATATTATTGAATTTTATTTGGCCAGGGCGGCTTGTTTTATAGTGTATGTTTTATATTATATATTTGTATTTTATTGTATATATTTTAAAATGTTATTTTAATTTTTTGTTGTAAGCCGCCCCGAGGCTTCGGCGAATGGGGCGGCATAAAAATGTTTTAATAATAATAAATAAAATAAAAGACTTTGAGGAAACAGAAACATGTGACATGTTGCAGGCTAGTTCTTTTGAAAAACATCAGTATAGCATGCAGAATCTTGTGTACATCACATGATGACAATGCCAGTTAAATCCATTTAAGTTCAAGGTGTAACACAACAAAATGTATGAGGTGAGGAATCAAAAGGGTTTGAATATTTCTGCACGGTACTCTATTTATCAATCATCTATTATCTGGTATATACTACACTGTCCAAAGCAGTTTGGTTCTTGGACAGTTGCAAAGGGCAATGAATGCAAGCATGTAGGGAAATCAGCTCCACTCAGAACATCTTACTGAAAGCAATGAAAAGGGGAGAGACTTAGGAGAACATCAAAGTAACTGTTGATGCTGGGGTATGTTTCAGTTTTACTTATTTAATCCTCTCTGCCCCTTCTTGGGAAACTCAGGGAGGTGTACAGTCAAGTACTAGCCAGACTACAACCTTCCTCCTTTTAACAATGCGGAAACCCAGAGGGCAATGTTTCAAGGGGCACCACCTGCTACCTTGTGTCAGATGCCTGGAAGCAAAAGGCTGCAGCTTGCCTTCCACTGATGACCTTGCCTGCAGAAGGGAGGACGTGTTTCTCCTTTTGCTCATTCATGGTTCTTGGCCTGGGGAAGAAGGCACAGAACAATTGCATGATTGGCCTACTCTTCCTCTTTTGAAATTCATGAGCAAGAAACATGGATTTATATGATGTGAGCCCTGGGGCTCTGTTGGGGCTCATGGAAAAGCCCTGTCATTCCTTTCCTTCTGACAGGCAAAATGACTGGCAGCAATGGCAACCATGGCTATTTTATGTCCTAGCTGCCATCTGGCTAATTTTCTTCAATCTATAATGGAATAGCAGGCAACTGGCAAAGCAATTTAGCTGTCTTGCTCCAGGGCAGGACCCAAACGATGCATTATGTGCCTTCATTCTTTTTTCTAGACCATGATCTGGTAGGAGGACATCTCTTGATCTATCTAAGGTTGCCTGTGTATCATTTTACAATTATGCATCCTTATATGGAAGATGAGATACAACAAGGTCGAGGAATGACTTTGAGTTGGCTACAGAGTAATTTGAAGCCATCTTGGGGAAGTTGTGTAAAACAGCCTTGGCCTCTATGCTGATTTTGGTATTGCAAAGTGCTTTTCATTCTGCAGCATCATCCTCTTGAAAAGGAAACCGTCACAGGCATTCCTTATGCAAAGTGTATGTGTGTTTCAACGAGAAAAGTTCAAACTGATTTTTAAAACAACCTCTGTAGCAGAACTCTACTAGAACTACTAACACAAACATGAAGTGTCTCTAGAACAAAAGGAAAAACAAAGAAGAGAGGAGATTTCTCATACGGTGTCTACTTTTGACTTTATCACTATGAAGCAAGAACATAAAGTACATTCATTGTTATATGATCACACATGGCACCCAACATGCAAATATGCAAATGAATTTAAAACTTTGTGGAATAACTTAAAAGAACAGGGGTTCCAGATTGTTCCTGAACTTCCTTCCACTGTGCAAAATTTTACAGTGCTCTTTTATATTTCTAACTCTCTTGCTAATGTGTTTTGTCTGTCTTTTTAAACACAGTTTTGTGTGATTGATTTTTGTTTTCCTATTTTAAGTCCCCTTGAACATCTTGATGGATTGAGTATAATCAATCCATTGTTCAGTCAATCAATAGGGTGGATTATAATAATGATGAGGGTCTCTGGGCATCATTTGACATGCACTGCTGTTTCTCTGCGGAGCTGCCTTGTATGTATTTCTTCATCAATATAAGTATTGTTGAATCTGTTTTGTTTTATTTATTTTGTTTTGGCCATTATTCTGTGGCCAAATTTCATTATGCCCAATGGTCCAAACAAGTAAACTGAACTGAAAACAGTATTTTAAAATTTCAGTTTAAATACTGCATGCTTACTTGGAAGGAAGTCCCATTGAATTCAGCTGGAAAATCGGTTTAGAATCGTATCCATAGCCTTGGCTAGTGCCTTCCTTTTTGTTGTGCTGTTTGACAAAACCAAATGAACCAACGTTTCTGAGTACTGAAAGTGCCAACAGAAGATTTTAAGGGAGATATTACATGGTTTTGAGTCCCATCTTGGCAGTGAAATGCTTTCAGCTCATGCATTCTGACCTACTTGGCTGTTAGAATTTAATTAGCAGCCATATATTATTGTCAAAGTAATTAAAGCTTTGCCTTGATTAAAAATGGAATTGTTTAATTAAAAAGAAAAGGTTTGGCTAACCTTAGCTTTATGCCTGAGTAAGACATTTCTATATCAGCTAATTTTCCTGTATCTTTCCCATTCAGGCATGAAGGTTCGGGAGGCATATATCAATGTGACAAGGCAGCAAGTGGAGGATTTTCATGGACCAGAAGACTACTGGTGCCAGTGCGTTGCATGGAGCCACCTGGGGACCTCAAAGAGCAGGAAGGCTTCTGTCCGCATTGCCTGTAAGTGGAGGCAGCAAGCTTGAAAATGCATTTGGAAGGCTGTGCCTGTGCAGGACTGGGAGTTTGCATCGCCTCCAGTCCTCCTCCTCCAATTCAGTGCACATCTATGTAAGGCTACATAACTGACAGACACAGCCATGAGGAAAGCATGGACTGTGGATGTGAACACAGCAGACATTTTGCTATTGACAAGGGAGGGAGGCAGGCAGGCCCTGGAGAATTGCCGAGGGCGAATCAGTGCCAAAATCTGCTATCATTCTAAATAAATTTGGATTTTGATGAACCTGACATATAGATTCTTCAGCACACTGGCTTTTTTTCTGAGTTGTGTAGCTCCCCAGACTTGTGAACCACTTTTTAACTTGGGACAGGGGAGTTGCTGAAAAAAATTGCACTCATGCTAAATGTGCATCAACACTAATTTGCACTCATGCCACTGCACATTAGTGCTACTTGATATTAGTGCATGTGGAATATGATTAATATACATCTCTAGGAAAGGGTGGGGTGGTTGATTTCATTAATAAACAGATGATGAATTGCAATATTAGTCTAATTGGCCTGACTTAGTTTAAGATACATGGACAGAAGACTGTAGCCTATCCATGTCATATGGAAGTGCATTTTATAGTTAGACACATCTTATACATTGGCTCTTGGCTAACTGAAATTAACACAGTGCGGACCATTGAAGGCAAGAGCTGCATATCAGGAAGCACTTAACCAGTGCAGGTTCTGTTATTAAAGAGCTTTCCCAACAGGAGACACAGTGTACCCAGTATGGGGTATTGAGAGTGCCACCTGCTAAGGCCCTTTGCTACATCTCCTAAACTCTTTGTGGGAAAACACACACAAGGTAGCAAGCTGATAAAATGGATTTGGACATGGGCACCGGTATGCAGTCAATATATACAGGGCATCTCAGACTATCGCAGTAAGTGCACCATAAGTTCACTTATGTGCACCTGCATTGCACCTATGCAAGAATACACATAACTTCATACATCCAACGAGGGGCCCTCAAAAAGGTTTGGTGTTCAGCTCTGAACACAAGCCTGTGCATGGACAGTGTGTATACATGTGAATATGTTGCAGAGAAGTAAATATATGAAGTGCGAACACATTGGCCAGGTTACTATCACACTCCTGTTTCCACTACCTTATGCCTTTATGAGCATAAGAACATTGTGCTTAAATAGTATATGCACATTTTCCTGCAAGCCTATTTTGGCTTGGAGCAAGAAATGAGCAGACCAAGCTTGGATAACTCTCTAAAATGTTCAGTTCATCTGGATTTGTCAATAATGAGCACGCCAACTTCCAAGTGGAAGATAGAAACATAGAAACAGAGCGAGTCGGAAGGGGTCTCCCAGGCCATCTAGTCTGACCTCTGGCACCAGCTGGCTCCGCTCACGACATGCCCGCCATGTGCACGTCCAGCCTGTCCTTGAAAGATGACCAATTTTGGCTTCTGAATGGATCTTCTCAGTCATCCATTATCTTCTTTATATTGGGAAACAATTAACTGGAAGATGGGCATTCATACATGGTGTGCCAGAAGAGTCTATGCATATGTAGAAAGCTTAGCTTAGCCTGCTGAATGCCACTGAACCCATCAGGCCTGCTAATAGATTTCAGTAAACCTTAATCTTAATTTTCAAAGAGTTCTGTCAAAGCTGAAATTTCCTCTAATTGCCCAAATCTGCTCAAATCCCAGGCCATTACATTTAGAGTGCAATTCCATTGTAATGCACAGAAGGCCCCACACTCAGAGGTTCACACTCATCCTGTGCAGAACAGAAAAAGTGGTGAAGATGATTTTTGCTTCCCTGTCTTCCCACCCTGCAGATTTCTTGAGATAAGGTTTAGGGTTAGGGTTAGGGTTGGCTGGCTGAAGCACTTAACCAGGAAACAAGAATGCCGGAGAGGCTTCAGGATAATCTGGCTGGTGCAGTTTATTCCATGCTGACTGTGAGGGGGGTGGGGAGGGGGTTGAAGATCCAGTTCTCAGGTCCAAATTCTCTGATCTCAGATCTGGGAATTAGAAATCTATCATGGCTCCTCAGACACTGATTATGGGCCACAGGACTTCTCCCTTAGAAGGCAGCATGACAGCAGCCATGTTCTTCTTACCTTGCGGGTGACTGTAGCAAGCCAATCAACATGGGAATGGATGAATGAATCATTTCCAACTGCAGTTAAGGCTGGTGTTTGGCAGAGATGATAGCTACACGAAGTTGCTGGGCTTCCACTTACATGTCCACTAAGATAAATTATATGCATTGCATTAGTTAATGGCTTTCTTTAGTTTGCTGTAAAGTGTATTTGGCAGTTTGGTTTTGCTGAGAAAAGCCCTGCAGGTGTCACACTGAGGCTATTCTCCCCCTCCCCTCAAAAAAAGAAAAAACTCCATAAAAGATGGAAATTGAAAACCCACTGAAATGTGGCTGCTGATAAGAGTTTGCAGATGCTGCACAAAACATTTAACAGAATCTGTCTGCTACATTTTCAGGAGATAGGAATGAATATGTGACAAGATTTTCTGGCTCTGCAACTCTAAACCTGCTCTCTTGGTTATTGCAGAGTATTTTGTTCAAGGGTAGGCAGAAGGTGTTCTTTTCTGTTGCATGCCTTCCAAAATAATGCAATCCAGTTTCTATATGGGATGCCTTTGTGCACAAAACCCTTTACAATTTGTTGTGGAGTTGCTGTGTCAGGAGTTGCAGGCTTGAGTCTCGGGCAGTAGAGAGATGGAAAGACTGGAATAGGCTCCTACAGTTGTCCTTAGAAGCTGCTCTTTGGGATTCTCCATATTACATCAAGTGGTGACTACACCAGAATATTGCCCCTCCCTTCTTTATAAGGAAACAGAAAGATTCCAGGAGGACAACATGGGAATAACAGGGAAAGTCCTTGGCTGTTAATTTTTAGGCAGGATGTAGTTATGGTTGGTGGCTTCATACCATAGTTCCTTTGGCAGGTAGCTGGGTTGTTCTTAGGGTTCTTAGGAGGACTGGCTTCCCGTCCTCTGATTTCTTTTCCCTTTTGTACAGTCTCTCTGGACAGAAAGCTTAGCTAAGCTTTCTACATATGCATATATTCTTTTGGCACACCATGTATGAATGCCCATCTTCTATCTGCCCAACTTCTGGACAGAGGCTAGATAACTGCTGCTAGCGGTGTCTGCCACTTGCTGAGAGACAGGGTGAACCTCAATGTCAAGGCGTTTTATGCTGGATGCTCTTCCACACCTCTCTTTCCACCCTCTTCTTGACTACATGTCTCTAGTGGGACCAGCTTGGAGTTGTGGCCACACAGTGCAATCTGCCACACCATACTGTTCTACCAAAGGCAAATTCAGTGCTACCAAAGGCAATTCAGTGCCCCTGGATGTGGACCTAGGTTTCCCACACCAAAACTCAACACTTCACCATTGGCTCTCCGCTGAATTTCTGAGCTGACAAAGTTTATTAGAGCACTTCAACAGGAATACCGGTCCAGGTGATTAACCCTCTAAAGTGCACCACTGATCATCTACAAGCCATGTGTTCGGGGGAAGGGAGGAAGGACACGTTCTGATGCTAGTCTGCATCAGGGGTGCAAAGCTGATCTTGACCACAGGGCCTATATATGAGGTATGATTAAGGGCTGCAGTGTGTACACTTACCTGTATATAAATGCCTGTACACATGTGTGTATGTGGACATGCAAGACTTAATCATGTGTACATCTTCCCACCAAGCATACAAAACAGAAATAATTCCTCTCCGTGTCTGTTTAGAAATCAGTCCAAGTCAACAGCTTTCAGGCATGCAGAGCACAGCCCAGTTTAAAATTTTAATTCAACCTGGGTATGAAACATTTAAATGTCTTTTCATCTTTCTTGTCTCTAATAAATGATTGGAAATCAGAACAGGTTCCCCCGCTTACCACTAAGGAAAGCCAATCTTTTCTGTGGTCTTTTCCTGCAGTTGATCAGCTGGGCTGTGGGGGGGGAAAGGTTAGCTGGCCACACAACTGAAAGACCCATGCTCCCCAGTCTCCTTTGACAAGGAGGCCTAGAAGAGAGGGAAGGGCTACTACAATGTGGAATTTTTAATTGAAGCTTTAATCCCTAAAAAGCAGATATCTAGGATAATGACTTTATTAGAATATGATGATGCAGAAAATGATCTTGTGGCCTGGAGACGGGTTTTTTTGGGGTGCGGGGAGTGGAATCTGAATATTCAGATCCTCAGATCTGAGGTCAAAGACAGAGTTCTGACCTTGGAGGGGGAAATTCATGCTCTGATCCATTCTTTGCAGCTAAACCATGCCGATTGCCTCTCCAGGGCTGGGAAATCAACCTTCCAGAGGCAATAAAGTGGGCCAGGAAAAGACAGGGAAGAGACGACTCCAGCCTTTTTCCTTCTTCCTCACAAAGCATCCATCTACCTAAGGCACAGAACAGAAGGTATGAGAAGGCAAGTGCTCATAAGCTTCCAAGTTCAGAGGCTCTTGAGCATGGAGGATATGATGCGTAGGGCCAACCATTAAAATGTTAGGGAAGCATTATCTCCAAACATACATCCCAGATCCCTATTTCTTGGCAAAACAAGGACTCCACCCAGCTTTCTGAGCCTTGGAGAAATTGCTCACTCCTGTCTCTGCTTCCCTGCCTTGGACTAGGCTAGGCTAGGCTGCTGCAGTGAGCACTGTCTGGGCAAAAGTACGGATCATCCTCACCATATATCATGAGTACATGTGTGTTCTTTTCACTTATGCCCATGTACAGAGAAGCCTTCAGGATGCAGTCTATCGGACAGGGCCTTAATATATTAGTAATATACTACTAAGGGTATATTTAGACTACTGGTATTGTCTAAAGTCAAAACTTTCCTAAATCTGTTTACATCCCTCCAAAGATCTGTTCCTTCATCCCATTTTTCATGATTAATATAAAAATGCAGATTTTTAAAATTCATTAGCACATATTAACATGACTTTTAAAAAGAGTTCTT